GCGTTTCTTTTCCAATCAGTTCTTAAAATTGAGTCTGTATCAACGCTAATGTCATTTTTTTTAGTTGAGTTGTTTTGGAATTTTGCAACCGTTTTTGGTCTAAATATGGTACGTGAACAAGTAACTTAAAAGATACAATACCTTATTTGAATTTGATGTTCATTTTAAGTGTGGGCCCCCTTTTTTCTCAAATGACCCCCTTTTGAAAAGTTTATGGGCCCGAAGGGCCCCCTGGGAATTTGTTCTAGATTGAACACTGTGCTTTCTTGTTAATTTGAGGAATAGGAAAAGCTCGGTATGTAACCATTTGCTTACACTTGATGTAACAAGGTGTCAAAAACTGTTATATTTGGAATATTGTGTAAAATAGGTGAGAAAATGAATTTTAGAATGGTTTAATGTTGCTTTCTGCACAATAATTTTAAGAAGAATTAATTTCTTATTTTATAGATGAATTATGTACATCATATACATGTATAATTGAAACATGACCAATGAGAATTAAATATTAAACATTAAATGTCTTCAAAAATATGTTTTGCTCTCATCATATAAAATATTATAAATCACTTTTATATTAGTATTTGAATACATATTGTTTGTTCATATAAAATGTCATCCTAAAATAGACAATGGTCATAAGATACATGTATATAAGCAATGAGAATATCCTCAATAAAGACCACTTTGGTCAAGTCCCATCCATTGGTGGTCTTAGTAGAAGGTTTTTACTGTATTAGGAATACCTTGTACACTATGCCAGGCATCTCGGATATTCCTACAATATTAAAGGTACCTAGAACATTCATTCAGGGGCACCTAGGATATCCTTCACTTTTAGGGGCACCTAGGACATTCTTGCACTATTGGGGGCACCTTGGACATTTCTTCAATATTAGGGGCACCTAGGATATTCCTACACTGTAAGGGGCACCTAGGATATTCCTACACTATAAGGGGCACCTAGGATATACCTACACTATAAGGGGCACCTAGGATATTCCTACACTGTAAGGGGCACCTAGGATATTCCTACACTATAAGGGACACATAGGATATTCCTGCACTATTAGGGGATATTCCTGCACTATTAGGGACACCTAGGATATTCCTACACTATTAGGGGCACCTAGAATATTCCTACACTATTGGGTGCACCTAGGACATTTCTTCATTATTAGGGGAACCTAGGATATTCATGCACTATAAGGGGCACCTAGGATATTCCTTCACTATTTGGGACACCTAGGATATTCCAGCACTACAAGGGGCACCTAGGAAATTGCCACACTATTAGAGGCACCTAGGACATTTCTTCACTATTAGGGGAACCTAGGATATTCCTGCACTACAAGGGGCGCCTAGGATACTCCTGCACTGTAAGGGGATATTCCTGCACTATTAGGGACATCTAGAATATTCCTACACTGAAAGGGGCATATCGGACATTTCTACACTATAAGGGGCACCTAGGATATTCCTACACTAGTAGGAAATGGCTTGTTGATAATTAATTGTAATTACATTTAAGTAAAAACAAATCAATTCCTTTTGGCCAAAAGCATAAAAAAGCAGGTCGTCTCAGGATATCTGCCCAATTCTTAAAATATCTTACTGATAACAATTTCATTATTGTAGTTTTTATTTTAATATGAGGAAAAAGGTTCATATGTGTGTCAGATCCTGGTTCCTTCTATAATAAGAAACAGGATATATAAGATACTATAGTTGACTGCATAACTATGTGACTATTTATTATAAATACTAGAAAGATTAGGAGAATCTATCAATTTAGTGGTTACACTGTCTTAACTTACAGGTAAGAAAGTTTTCTCTAAAATGAAAATGACTTATTAAATTATTTGCCTTGCAGACTTGGGCTGTAAATGCATCCTGATGGAAAAAGATTTGGCCTTTTAATGTTGTTTTGAAATATTAATGATTTTCTTGCAGCCCAGATCTTTTTTCTTTAGTCTATATAATTGCTGCTGATTTTGTATAATGGACCTGAGTCTTACTTTAATTTTTTTAACTGTATATTGTTAATTTAATGGATTTTAAACTGAGGTGTCATCTGTATGAAATAAGGTTCTGGTGGTACATGTAAGGCATTATTTCTGTTGATGTTAAAGTAAGTAAAGTATACTCTGCCCATCTCTGAGTAAAATATTTTTATGCAAAAATTTATTGAAATCTATAAAATTCTTACAGAATATGTTTAATTTAAATAAAAGAAAGTGCAAAATGTATGGGAATCTGTGATTCTTATAACCGGGTCTAGTACAGTATATGTACCTGATTTAAAGCATGTTATATATACTTTATGTGAAGTCAGAACATGTTTATTTTATATTTACAAAAAGACTGAGTAGCAATTATCAATATTTTCAAATGTCAAATTTAAGCCTAGTGTATCTTTTAGGAGTGTTTTATTTTTCATAGAAATCAGATGTACAGTTGTTTACTTGACAGATGACATGACGAGATATAACATGACGAGATATAACATGGCGAGATATAACATGACGAGATATAACACGACAGTAGATTACATGACGTATAATATGTAGCAGCTTCTTCCGGCTTGCATCATTCTGTACACTTGAAAAATGTTGATATTGTTATCATGTAGGTCAACAGGTCAGAATATTGTAGTAATAGTAGTAAATAACTTTACCACTTTCTAATTATTTAGAGCATCAGTCTTTTTATTTAAATTGCAGGTTTTATTTAGTATTAATGATACATGTATGTTTGTGAAATATGAACTTTACCACTAATTCCTGCTCTGATTTGGGTAATTGAATTGTCCTATTTTAGATAAAGATAATGCAAAACTCGAAATATCAATTTTTCTTATGATATCTAATCCTGGGATGATACTGGGATTACAAACAAAGTTGTACAATTACAACTTGGTAAATCTATCAATGTAATGATAAAACATTGGTCACTCTGTTGTGGACACTACATGTAGTCATCGCAGCAATTCATGAAGCTATAAGGGTTTGTTTGTAAGATGGACAAAAAATCCACACATTGGGCAAGTTCGGGATAACATCTTCTGGGCTTGTATGTTGTTTTCTGAAGAAATTTCATCATTAACAGTCCTATGCATTTATATGCACATAAAATGCACCAAAAGTCTCCATTTAATAAATTATGCAAATTTATTTGTTTTAATCTGGAGAAGCCCCCACCTCAACCCATATAAATAGGAGGGGTAGCAATGCTTTTCTTTTATTTCCCTTATGCACCCCAAACTGTAAATTTCTGGATCATTTTCTTGATTGGTAAAGACTTAAAACTTTAAAACAATGAATGCTATATTTAATGCACAATATTTGATAAACAGATAAACTTTATTACACTAAGTATGTTCCCTATCATGTGTGCAGAAATCACATTTAAAATATATATTTGTTATGCATGAATAATTTGAGATTTGAGAGATGATGTTAAATGAATTAAATTTGTATTATTCCTGTATAACATATTAGAATTACAAGTCTTCAGATCAGGAAGAATTTTATTTTTCTTCCTACTTCATGTTCGACATAACGTTTAATGCTCTACAAATTTCAAGTAGCATTTTTTTATGTGTCAAGTAGAAATATGAAATATCATGTTATTTTTGTTATTAAAAGTCTTTGTACAGACTGAGTAAGCAATATCTTTCCTTATTGTTGTAGTTGTTTTTCTTGTTTTTTGTTTTGTTTATTTTTGTAGCTTTTGTTTCTTTTTTCCTGTTTGTTTGATTTTTGGCCAGGGCTTTGAGAAGGTTAAACAACAGTTTGTACTTTGCAAAAATGATGCTAATAATTGGAATTCTTTCTTTTATTAGAAACATGAAACATTTAGTATCATTTCAGTGTACATATACTTATAGTGTGAATAGGAAAATGTTTTAAGAATTAATGCTTAGAAAAAAAGAAGAAAAAATACATTAAATTTTGTTGACTACCTACTGACACAAGTTTTAGGGGAAGAAAAAACACATACACTGGAGCCGCGATATAGCGCTCATGTTGGGGTCCATGATCTCAAGACAGAGTTGTAACGAGTAACTTTTTATAACGCTCATTGTGTAATTATAGCGAAAATATCGCATTACCCCACCCACCGCCGAAACATATAACGCTTGTTAGTGGAAATGATTGTTTACTTACCTTCCAATGGATATCAGTCAAAGCTTTTTTATATATTATTATTAATTATTTTGTAAAGCATTACTGAATATCTTTAATATAAACATGAAATTTACGAATTAAAAATATAAACCACGAATGTACAATTGTTTATAAATTTCCAGTAAAACAGCGATGTTAACGTGTGTTATGTGTGGTCATGAAAATTGATACCTAGTGGATGGGACTAAATTAATCGTCTTTCCTGCTGTCTCTTGTGAAAAAATCAGTCATCCTCAACAACTTTTTTGCCGATAGATCGAAAGTAATTGCTTTTTAAAATTAATTGTATGCTTGGGTGATTAACTTAACTCTTCGGTGTTTGCATGTTTTAGCTAACAGTTTGATACCTGACTGAAGAGCAGATTAACGCTTACCTGTGTATGAATTCACACCTTCTTATCATGAGTGATGTAATTATGACTGTTTATTGCACTCGACTGACACATTGAACAAGCGTTATAGTGGATAAGGTGCGGTATTGATATACATGAAAAAAAAAATATAATCGGCGAAAAATACGATTTTTTTGGGGGGAGCCAAGGCATATGAGCGTTCTACTGAGATTAGCGCTATACCGAAGAGCGCTATATCGCGGCTCCAGTGTACATTGTTTGTGTGCGCGCGCATCTGGCAGTGGTTAGCATACTGGAACAGTGGCAATCTAGAGATCCGTTGTTTGTGTCCCGACTGCAGTGTGCTGATTTTTTGTGTGTGATTTTTGTCTGTGTGTTGTATGTATAAAATATATTTCAAATAAGCAATGATGAATCAAAACTTTATACATGTATCATTTTATCTTATTTTTTTCAGAGATGATTAGATACACAATTCTAACTTTACTCCTGGCGTTCCCATGTTTATTTGCGGCCCCACAAGCAGACCTTGTGGTGTCACTGCCAGGATTGACTAAACAGTTACCATGGAAACAGTACTCCGGTTACCTGAAAGCTTCTGGCACCAAAAAACTCCATTACTGGTAAGATGATGATATCAACATTATTGTTTTATTGTTCTTTCCATTCTGACACCACCAGCTGTATAGAGTTGAAGTCTTGAAAAATGAAATGAAATAGCCTTAGGTATGATATATTTTAAGACTTAAGCTCTATACATGGTACCATACTTCTACAATATTTATTCAGTTTTACATAATAGTTTGCTTGGAATTGTTATGTGGTTCTATGACAGTACTTTCATCTTTCAATTGAAAGTAACTTAAATTAAGGAAACAACTTCACAACATGTTGTTCACTGTGCTAAGATCAGATTATAGTTCAGAGCAGTTTGGCACAATTCTGTTTAGCTAAGTTACTATTATAAAGAATTTGCCCCACAATTAGGGCTTCAACTTTTACATACATCAGCATTTTCTACTATTATCTTATTGTAAGTTATTTAAATCGTTGCTATGGTTTCAGGTTTTTAGAGTCAGCTAATAAACCAGCTACAGATCCTCTTGTATTGTGGATGAATGGAGGACCAGGTTGTAGTTCTGATCTAGGTCTTCTAACAGAACATGGACCTTTTAGGGTATGTATATTTTATTAATTTTTATACAGCTATTTAATATTTTTTGCTGCCAGTACTAGGTGATTCCATTTCGATATAATATCCTGAAATTAAAGTTTTTGTGTAAGTAATGCTTCAGAATGCTGCATTGAAATTGGTAAGATATCACATACCTGTGCAGCTTTTGCGACTCCTTTAAAATGGTATTGTATTGTCGTGCATATATTTTGATGTGAAGTCATATATATAGTGTTAAGACGTCGCTGTTAGCGTTAAACTATAGTGTCAATGAAAAATGATTTTTTTTCTCTTCAAACGGTCTTTATTTTTGATATGTGATAAATAGAATATTAAATTTGTGTAAGTTCATTACAAAATTTAAACTTACTCATTAAATAAAATAATATTATGCCTGCCAGAGCCTTGCATAATATAATAATAAAATCAGTATTAAACTTACTCATTTAATGTTACCCCACTAAATTAATGTAATGAACTCATCCTGCTATGATTCTGGATCTGACCATTATAATTTAAAGGGACATCAACATCAAATGTTTCTAAACTGTGTAGTCTTCAATATAGAACCTGGTCAGACCATATAATTGCCTGTCTTATAATGACTAGCACCATAAACTGTCATGTAAATTACAGCTGTGCTAGTAGAATATTAAGTTGGTTTCAACCAATGAAATGCTTGCATTTTAAAATTGTTTGACCATAGGGCTTGATTGACCAAATTTTCTACTGACCGTATCAGTTAGATTCATATCAGTCATTATTTGTCAAGTACAGCCACAGCAAATGACGTATTTTACAAAAAACAAAAATACATAACAACATACACACCTCAAAATAAACGGCTGTAGTCGAGAGAAAATGATGAAATTTTATTTTAGTAACACATCTGGTTGTGACAATCAATTATTTTCTCACATGATCAACCAACCTTTATTTCACATGATCAGTGTTCTCTCAATTAGGGTTATATCAGTTAATCTTATGTAAGATAATTATGTACATCATATGACACAGGTGAGTTTGTTAAGGAGAGAAACTTGAGATGTCCTAACAAAGTTTACCTAGGTAGTTGCTTAAACCTTAAATACATTGCTGAATTTCTGGTTACTGGTGACAAAAGCTGTTTACTTTATGTTGCAGCATTACAAAAGGTAGAAAAAAACACCAATATATCCATAGGTAGTAAAATGCCAATGTATCCATAGGTAGTTAAACCTTATGTATCCATAGGTAGTAAAATGCCAATGTATCCATAGGTAGTAAAAAACCTTATGTATCCATAGGTAGTAAAATGCCAATGTATCCATAGGTAGTAAAATGCCAATGTATCCATAGGTAGTAAAACCATAATGTATCCATAGGTAGTAAAACCATAATGTATCCATAGGTAGTAAAACCATAATGTATCCATAGGTAGTAAAATGCCAATGTATCCATAGGGAGTAAAACCTTAATGTACCCATAGGTAGTAAAATGCCAATGTATCCATAGGTACTAAAATGCCAATGTATCCATAGATAGTAAAATGCCAATGTATCCAAAGGTAGTAAAATGCCAATATATCCATAGGTAGTAAAATGCCAATATATCCATAGGTAGTAAAATGCCAATGAATCCATAGGTAGTTAAATGCCAATGTATCCATAGTTAGAAAATGCCAATGTTTCCATAGGTAGTTAAATGCCAATGTATCCATAGATAGTAAAATGCCAATGTATCCATAGGTAGTAAAATGCCAATGTTTCCATATATAGTAAAATGCCAATGTATCCATAGGTAGTAAAATGCCAATGTATCCATAGGTAGTAAAATGCCAATGTATCCATAGGTAGTAAAATGCCAATGTATCCATAGGTGGTAAAATGCCAATGTATCCATAAATAGTAAAATGCCAATGTATCCATAGGTAGTAAAATGCCAATGTATCCATAGGCAGTAAAATGCCAATGTATCCATAGGTAGTAAAATGCCAATGTATCCATAGGTAGTAAAACCTTAATGTATCCATTGGTAGTAAAACAACAATGTATAAATAGTAAGTAAAACAGTTTAACACTGATTATCCATAATTCAGTAGTAAAACACCAAATTATTCATGATGGGTAGTGAAACACTGGTGTGTTCATAAGTAGTAAAACACTTATGTATCCATAGGTAGTTTAACACCATTGTATCCATATGTAGGTAGTAAAGCATTAAGGTATCCATTAAGTAGTTAAACACCAATGTATCCTTAGGTAGCAAAACACTAATATGTATTCCTAGGTAGTAAAACACCAAAGTATCCATGTTGGGTAGTAAAGCAATAATGTAGTCATAGGTAGTAAAACACTAGTATAAACATGTTGTCAACGGAAACATATCTTTTTATTTTTTCAGATAGCAAAGGATGGATCTGGTGTAACAATTAACAAATACAGCTGGAATAATGTAAGTTATATTTTCTTTACAAAAAATATAACAAGAACAAAAAGCCCTTATGAAAAGAAATGATTCATTGAATTCATATCCTAGACTATATAACAATGTTCATTATATTTACTGTTATAAAATTTTTAAACAATTTGAAATTTGTTACTTCTTAACAATATCTAAATTTCAAATCATTCGAGCTTATTCTTCAGATTGTTAAAATTGAACAATTATTATGTGTGGTATATTCAATACAAAGCAAGACAATATGTTTTCAGTGTATTAGTTTTAATGTATAACTAGATACAATGCACATTTAAATGAAATTAATTCTAATCATTATATCTCATTTTTGTTCCAATCTTTTTTTTTCAGGTAGCTAACATGTTATACTTAGAGGCCCCAGCAGGGGTAGGCTACTCGTATTCTGATGATAAAAATTATACCACTGATGATGATCAGGTAATGGTTAGGAAAAAATATGAGCCACGTCACGACAAAACCAACATAGTGTGTCTGCGACCAGCATGGATCCAGACCAGCCTGCGCATCCGCGCAGTCTGATCAGGATCCATGCTGTTCGCTTACCAACCCTATTACAAGTAGAGAAACTGATAGCAACCAGCATGGATCCTGATCAGACTGCGGGGATGCACAGGCTGGTCTGGATCCATGCTGGTCGCAAACGCACTATGTTGGTTTTGTCGTGACGCGGCTCATATATATTTGATATGAGTGCAAAGTAATGTATGGTTTGGGTGTAATATAAGTAGCTATACACCAATGATGGCTGGTATGCCTAGGTGATTCATTTTGACATAAATTTTGACAATAAACTATTCAGTGCAAGAAAACTTAATATTTCTGTTTCAATCCTAGTATGTTAATAGAAAATAAAAAATATGCTGAAATACATTCGGCAGAGAAATAATCTTTATAACAAACCAACAGTCAGTACAGTTCTAAATTCTAAATATTTCAATAAACAAACTATGGTTTCTGGAGTGTTGTTTTTGTTATATTTTGGAATTGATGTAAAAAGCCTCCGGGGATATCAACAATTTATTGTCGCTATAGTAATTTATAACATTTCCCCAGCAAAAGATATGATGCTGGTATAATTAGCCCTCCGTCTGATATTCACCTGTTTTTGACAGATATTTATTTGCTATTTCCAAACATTTAATGAGTTCTTTAACACACCCGTATTTCCTGGTAATATATTATGTTTTCTAGGCCTAGATGATAAGAAATTATCAAAACAAGTGTGTAATATTTTCCTGCCATTACACTGCATTTCAAGGGAAGCAACTTCCAATTTTTTACCTAATTTGTTTATCATAATTTGTCTCTCTTTACTGTGGTGTGCATTTGAATGTAGAAAAATTCACTCCTACAGTAGTTAACATGTATTTTTTGTTGGATTCCAAAAAAAAATATGTCATTTTAGTTAAATAAAAAAAATAAGTGAAATATTTTCTTTCATATTTTTAAGAATGTATTTATATATTAAGATTATAAATCATCGACTACCGGAGGTAAATGACGCTAAGATACAAAATTATTTAAAAGTCTGTAATCTTTGCCTTTGTACAAAACTTTTCACTCTGTAAATCAATGTATTATGTTTTTATCAGGTTGCCAGTGACAATTTCCTCGCTCTTCAAGACTTCTTCTCAAAGTTCCCCGAATACGCTAACCATGATTTTTACGTGACTGGTGAAAGTTACGGTGGTATTTATGTACCCACGTTGTCCAGCCGGTTTGTTGATGCAAAAGCTGCCAACTTTAAAGGAATGGTGATCGGGAACGGAATATCAAACTTTGATACAAATGATAATTCCCTGTTGTATTTTGGATACTATCATGGGCTTCTTGATGACACGTAAGGGGCTTTAATTATTTTAACAGACATTTTGCTGACTTTTTAGCTTGTTTATTTGAAGAATAGGACTCAAACTGGCATTGCCATCACACTTATGTTTTTTTGTATGCAAGTTAGTATCTTCAAAACTACTGCCAGGAATGGGTTGAAGCTTCACACTTATTTGAAAGTGTAATAGGAGGTCACTTTTAAAGGGCCATAACTCTAACATGGATTTTGTCAGAATATTATGGCCCTTTTTTAACTAAGAAAATTCTACATTATCCAGGCTATTTTTTTTAGTATCAAGCATTGAATCAAGTGGAGCAGTGCTGTCGTTCCAACATCTCTTGTTTTGGTACTGATATCATATAAAGAAAATGGTTGAGACTTTAAGATCCTAGGGAATGGCAGATACCTATTTATCAGGCCACTTCTTACATAATTTGAATTTTGCTTTTTTACTTAATTAAAATAAATTATGAATGAATAAGTGTATTATTAATTCCAGCATATTTATGATAGAAGGTAGACATAATTGTTTCTTGATAGATATAAATATTTTATCTGTAAATATATTATTTTTTGTTTATTTTTTCAACAGTTTATGGAATAAGATGTTGAATGCATGTTGTCCAGGGGAGTCAGGGAGACGATGTCATTTTGTCAATGGTTATCTTGACGATGATAAGTGCTCAGATATTGTAAGTGTTTTACATTTTAATATATGTATATCAGTTACATAAAATCAGGATAGATTACAAGTTGTACTATTATAGGCATAAGTAATTAGACTGTTAGATATTCATTATATTTGTTTGAATTAACATTATACAGTTTTTAAAGAAAACCTTTGAGCAATAAAAATCTTTGACCATGCATGCCATTATATTTTGAATAACTGAATTGTTCCCAAAATGGGGTATCTGTCTCAGAAGTGCCTCCGAGAAAAAATAATTCTGTAAAAATCAACTATTCAATGATGTTAATACCTGCTTATTTACTGTGGCTAAGTATGAAACATGTATACAGGAAATGTTGATTTCTTACTGTTTGTATTAGCATAGACCAATAAACCTATTTTAAAGTGTCAAAGTCAACATTATTTAATAAGAGTATAAATAAAATACTGTGTTTTTTATGACATTTAAGAAATTCTTAAGGCAAAACAATATATCTGACAAACATGGATGCGTCCGTTAACATAGTTTTTAATTTTTAATCTACTTTAAATAAATACTTTTAGACTAGTGTCTGTAATATTGTAATGTCAGCAAAAATTGAGGTTTTGTCTATGATATTATATAGAATATTGACCACCAAAAAATGGGTGCAACTTTTGGCAAGGGAGGTAAATATTGTAAAAATTGAGAACTATTTATTATACAGGTTCAGCAAGGATTATCAATCATCTACGACACAGGATTAAACGAATACAACTTGTATGCCAAGTGTGAAGTACCAAAGTTTAAAGGCTACATCTACTCAAATAAATCATTCGTTTACGACCTGCCCAGTTTTGGACACAGAAAACATCCTCACATGATTAAGAAAATAAATGTAAGTATTCCTTGACTTGTTTACAGTTTAGAGACTTGAGTTTAAGAGATTCCTTGACTTGTTTACAGTTTAGAGATTCCTTGACTTGTTTACAGTTTAGAGATTCCTTGTTTACAGTTTAGAGATAAGATTCTGGAACCAGTCTGAGTTTTGCAAGATAACGATTGGACACTGCAAATTGCTTTTGTTAGATAAGCAGCCAATCATATTAAAGCAATACTTGACTGGTTCATTTTTTTTTCATTTTATTTACTCTAAATGTTTACCTGAGGGTAAAATGAAAGTATGGGGAAATTTCAATTCTGAAACATTTTAATTATGATTTGTTGCTTTTTTTCAATATAAATTTTGAATGATTAAAATTCTAAAAACTATCCTTGTTTATTGTGTCTTGAATACAGTCGAAATTTTTCAAAGAATTATTTTTATTACAATACCAATCGCCTTTTTGTATAAGCATTTTAAAGATATTCATAAAGTATGCACTTAAATCACTTCACAAAAGAGTAATAATTAACATTCTTCTATAATAGAGAATTTTTCATCCAACTGATTTAACGGTAAGTTTATATTGGATATATCTGGCATTCTCTACTGATTCTAAAGAAGAAAAAAAATATCTGCGTATTGCAATATGGGTACACTGCTATGTAATATCTACCATTTCCATATTTTTATTTACCCTGTTATAAAAAAAAATCTCTTCTGATTTAAGAGTATATTTTCATTTAAAGCATCAGGAATTTCTCATGAAATCTTTAAATTTCTTGGCACTGCTCATCAGCAGCATGTTAAATATTTTCATGTTAATTACTGCAAATTGTACAGTTTTATATTTTTATAATCTCCCCTTGAAAGTGTGATGTCATGTATGTTTGAAGCCTGTTCTGTATTGAACATATAAACATTCAGTGCTCTGCATGTACTTTGACTTCATGAAATATCTGTATTTTTACATTAAATGTTGATGTTTAGTTTAAGACAATATTGAAGGCTGTACTGGAATGAACAAGTGTTTTGTTAGACACTGCAATCCTATTTCTGCTGCATACAAACAAAAAAAAACATTTACTTCATTTAGCCTATTATTATTTTGAATTTTGGTTCTTTTTTCCACGGTGTACTTGACAAGTTTCATATTAGGCCTTTTTTATTGTTTATTTATGTGATGGTTACCAAGAACAATACAGTCATGTACTTGAATTGATTTATGTGGTTACTACGAACAATACATGTACTTTAATTAATTTATGTGGTTACTAAGAACAATACATGTACTTGAATTGATTTATGTGATTACTAAGAACAATACATGTACTTGAATTAATTTATGTGGTTACCAGGAACAATACCTGTACTTGAATTGATTTATGTGATTACTAAGAACAATACATGTACTTGAATTGATTTATGTGGTTACGAGGAACAATACATACATGTACTTGAATTGATTTATGTGGTTATCAAGAACAATACATGTACTTGAATTGATTTATGTGATTACTAGGAACAATACGTACATGACCTTGAATTGATTTATGTGATTACCAGGAACAATACATGTACTTGAATTGATTTATGTGGTTACTAATAACAATACATGTACTTGAATTGATTCATGTGATTACCAAGAAAAATACATGTACTTGAATTGATTTATGTGGTTACTAAGAAAAATACATGTACTTGAATTGATTTATGTGGTTACTACGAACAATACATGAACTTGGATTGATTTATGTGGTTACCAGGAACAATACATACATGTACTTGAATTGATTAATGTGGTTACTAAGAACAATACATGTACTTGAATTGATTTATGTGATTACCAAGAACAATACATACATGTACTTGAATTGATTTATGTGGTTACTAAGAACAATACATGTACTTGAATTGATTTATGTGATTACCAAGAACAATACTTGTACTTGAATTGATTTATGTGATTATCAAGAATGGTTACCAAGAAAAATACATGTACTTGAATTGATTTATGTGATTACCAAGAACAATACATGTACTTGAATTGATTTATGTGATTACCAAGAACAATACATGTACTTGAATTGATTTATGTGGTTACTAAGAACAATACATGAATTTGGATTGATTTATGTGGTTACCAGGAACAATACATACATGTACTTGAATTGATTTATGTGGTTACTAAGAACAATACATGTACTGGAATTGATTTATGTGATTACCAAGAACAATACTTGTACTTGAATTGATTTATGTGGTTACCAAGAATAATACATGTACTTGAATTGATTTATGTGACTACCAGGAACAATACATGTACTTGAATTGATTTATGTGGTTACTAAGAACAATACATGTACTTGAATTGATTTATGTGGTTACCAGGAACAATACATGTACTTGAATTGATTTATGTGGTTACTAAGAACAATACATGTACTTGAATTGATTTATGTGGTTACCAGGAACAATACATGTACTTGAATTGATTTATGTGATTATCAAGAATGGTTACCAAGAAAAATACATGTACTTGAATTGATTTATGTGATTACCAAGAACAATACTTGTACTTGAATTGATTTATGTGATTACTTAGAACAATACATGAACTTGAATTGATTTATGTGACTGCCAGGAACAATACATGTACTTGAATTGATTAATGTGGTTACCAGGAACAATACATGTACTTGAATTGATTTATGTGATTATCAAGAATGGTTACCAAGAAAAATACATGTACTTGAATTGATTTATGTGATTACCAAGAACAATACTTGTACTTGAATTGATTTATGTGGTTACTTAGAACAATACATGAACTTGAATTGATTTATGTGACTGCCAGGAACAATACATGTACTTGAATTGATTTATGTGGTTACTAAGAACAATACATGTACTTGAATTGATTTATGTGGTTACCAGGAACAATACATGTACTTGAATTGATTTATGTGATTACCAAGAACAATACATACATGTACTTGAATTGATTTATGTGGTTACTAAGAACAATACATGTACTTTAATTGATTTATGTGGTTACCAGGAACAATACATGTACTTGAATTGATTTATGTGATTACCAAGAACAATACATGTACTTGAATTGATTTATGTGATTACCAAGAATGGTTACCAAGAAAAATACATGTACTTAAATTAAGCTGTCCGTTAAATCATGATTTTACATATTATTTTCATTTTACCACACTCCTTTGATGTAAACATGTCTCACGCTTACAAATGCGAAAATACTGCTAAAATAGTTTTTAACAGTTAACATTTTTTCATATTTTTAGGAAATCAAGTTACGTAAGCAGTATGAGAAGTCAGTAAGATTAACTCCCCCTTGTTTAGACTACGGGTATGTGATTAGTTACATGAATACAGGACCAGTAAGGGCAGCTCTACATATCTCACCATTTGCTCAAGACTGGGATGTCTGCAGGTATGTTACTGTTTTATTTTAAATTCTAAGAGATATATTACATATCTCATTCATACATATATTTCTTTTTCTGTTCATAGATATATACATGTGTGTCATATCCCTTTCTAAGAAGTATATTTTATATCCCTTTTTAAGAAATATATTTCATATCCCATTTTAATAGATATATTTCATATTCCATTCTCATAAATATATTTCATATCCCTTTCTAAGAAATATATTTCATGTCCCTTTCTAACAAATATATTTCATGTCCCTTTCTAAGAAATATATTTCATATCCCTTTCTAAGAAATATATTTCATGTCCCTTTCTAAGAAATGTATTTCATATCCCTTTCTAAGAAATATATTTCATATCCCTTTCTAAGAAATATATTTCATATCCCTTTCTAAGAAATATATTTCATGTCCCTTTCTAAGAAATATATTTCATATCCCTTTCTAAGAAATATATTTCATATCCTTTTCAACTCCTTAAAATACATTTCATATCTCCTTCTAAGAGATTAAAGTATGCCACCACTTTCTCACAAACATTTTTTTCAGAAAGCTTAGAATTCTGATATCCTAGCCAGTAGATTTTACTATATATCTGTTTCTGCATTTTCTTTTTTAAATATTTGTATAAATAGTAATATGCTTCCATAGAGAATCAACAAGATAAATCTGTCAATTGGTGTTAGTTACATCAGCATTCATATCAGTATGTTAACTTCCCAGTATCTAAAAGTATTAAATTACTTGACATACAACATATGTTCATTAATCTCAAGATTAGAAAATATGTCAAGGGTCGTAACTCTTTTGCATTTTGGCAAGACTAACAATTTCACCCTTTTGAGGAGTTCTGAATTCCAAACATGACAGTTTCGGAATACACAGTAAGGCTTCAGAAGTTGAACTTGTATCTTTTGCATGAATTGTCTTAAATATTTTAAATACATTTCATGATTATTTTGACTCTCATATTTTATATAAGTATGATTATTTTATGACTATGGTAATTTATAAGTGTGATATTTTTATGACTATGATATTTTTTATGTAAGATATTTTATGACTATACTATGATATTTTAGGACTATAATATTTTAGGACTATGATATTTTTGCCTATGATATTTTATGACTATGATATTTTATGACTATGGTATTTTATAAGTGTGATATTTTTATGACTATAATATTTTGTATGTATGATATTTTATGACTACTATGATATTTTATGACTATAATATTTTATTATTATGATATTTTTGCCTATGATATTTTATGACTAATATATTTCATGACTAGGATATTTCATGACTAGGATATTTTATGACTAAGATATTTTATGACTATGATATTTTTGATAATGATAGTTTTGACTATGATATTTTATGAGTATGATATTTTATGACTATGATATTTTATGATTGTAATATTTTATGACTATGATATTTTATGACTGATATTTCTGTTACCAGTGCTGTGGTTGGTGGAGGATATGTGAGACTGTATAATGATGTTACAATGTTCTACAGGAAAGTCCTTGATGCTGGGGTATGTACACCTTGATATTCTTTGTTAATTGACTTTGAATGCTGAATGCACTGCAGTAATTTCTGTTTGATTTGTTCAAGGTCATTTACATAATAGATAGCCATATTTGGAGCTGGCATGATCAAAGTTAAAATACATTATACAACTGACTTTCTAGACTTGTTGATAGTTTTAGTTTTATCATGACTGTTTCAGAATAGTGGGACTATTTTCTTCTCACCCATACTTCAACGTCAGTGTTAACATAACTGTTACATGAGAGTAACACTTTTGTGAAAGTTTAATATGCAACTTTTTGTACAACGTCACATCAACCACTAACTCCTCACACTTGTCTTTGAGATCACAATAGGAGGTCATTGTTTAAAGGCCCATAACACTGACTTGGATTTTTACTGATTTATGTCCCTTTGAAAATGAATGGCTAAAGTTTGTATGCAGCATCAGTCTTTGAAACTACCAAAAGGTATTCACTTGAAACTGTTTAGGTGTCTTTATCTAATTCAAGATGTCTAATTCCTTTGAAATGGTATTTGACTGAATTATGGTCATATAATTTATGATCTACATGTTGACAGTCTTATTAGTAGTGGCCTAAGTTGACCTGTGCTGAGTTGTTTAAGGATTGATTGGACCTTTTATCGTGACAACATGGTTTCCAGGCTTATGTTAGCCAGGAAAGTGACAGTTCTAGAATAATAAAATTATATAATAATAATGATAAGTAAATATAATGATAATTTTATTGTTGTTGTATATTTATAGAAAAAGGTGTTGGTGTATAATGGTGATGTAGACATGGCGTGTAACTTTCTTGGAGATGAATGGTTTGTGGAAGCTCTCAACTTGCCAGTAAGAGCCTTCATCTTTTATATGAGCCACGTCACGACAAACCCAACATAATGGGTTTGCGACCAGCATGGATCCAGACCAGCCTGCGCATCTACTCTATAACAAATAGAGGAACTGATAGCGAACAGTATGGGTCCTGATCAGACTGCGCGGATGCGCAGGCTGGTCTAAATCCATGCTGGTCGCAAACGCACTATGTTGGTTTTGTCATGACGCGGCTCATATCTTCTTTTTTACTATGATTGTTTATGGTTACATATACATGGCATAATTAAATCCTATGTGTTATTTATTCATTTTAAAGTTAGACAGTTTTTTTGTGAATTTCTTATAAGAAAACAAGTCCTATTCTAGGATATATTAACTTTCCAGCCATTTATAAACATGTATTAGTATCAGTACAAACAGCAAAAACAGAGCAAAGACTTGATTAGGTTAACTTTGTATATTACTTTTCTAGACATACATTTAACATGACTTAATCATTATGCACTTTAGTTTCTGAATAACATGAGTTACTACAAGTAACGCTGCTGTCTTTGTTAATTTGTCTGTCAGTTTAATTATACCAGAAGATAACTGTAAGACATTTCGAGACTGATTTAAAATTATGGAATAGTTTCCTTAAGTTTAAGTTACATTTGTGTTCAAAGGTTGTAACAGAACGTAAACCATGGTATGTAGAAGATAGTACAGGAACAAAACAGGTGGCTGGATTTGTGAAACAGTTCAAACAGTTGACTTTAACCACCATCAGGGTAAGAAAAATTTAGCAGTCTGTACTTCATTTTATAATTAATGCACCAATGCATGTTTTGGTAAATTTGTTTGACCAGTGACAAAAAATATCAAGACAGGCTATGCCAACATGCTGAAAGAAATGAAATTGTTTAAAACAAATGAACTACATTCTGCAGTTGTTGTTAATGATAAACATCAAGTGTCAAACAAGTAAACTTATGACTTCCAGCTACTTCAATCTAAGTAAATTTTGCTAGTTATATAACTTTTTCTCTTTTATTTAAAAGTCATAATAGAATATCATTATACCATTACATTTCTGTTTATTTATTTCATATATTTTCTGCTGATTCAAGTTATCGCTTGTCTGAAAAAAAGTTTGCAACTACCAATACATTGTATGGAATCCTTATTTTAGTCTTGTTTTGGTTGGGTTTTAGGTCACGTCAAAGTAGAGGTCATTTGGCAACTTTCTAGCTTGATCACAGGTGCCCCTCCATGCATATTTCAGACTTGAACTGGCACCCGAGTAGAACCACCAAGCTACTCAGTATTATAAACTGAACAGATGATTACTGACCATCCAAACTCATGATCCGTTTAGTTTTGACTTTCTAAAGTCTTTACCACTAAAGTCTTGACCTGATGTACAAATAATTGAAAAAATAATCATATTCAAGATTAGATAATTTTGAAAACTAATATTAGAATTTGTAACAATATAAACTACGTTATATAATTTCAGGGGGCAGGTCACATGGTACCTCAGGATAAGCCAGTGGCTGCTCTGGAAATGATCAGCTCATTTTTACATGGATAGTGATCCAGTTATCATCCAGTGATCCAGTTATCATCTAGTGATCAAATTATCTTCTAGTGATCCAATAATCATCCAGTGATCCAATTATCATGTAGTGACTATATTATCATCCAGTGATTCAATTATCATCAAATGATCCAATTATCATCTAGTGATTGTATTATCATCCAGTGATCATCCAGTGATCTCTTATTAACTTGCTTTATTGTTGATTTCAATACCACCGCAAAACTTAACGAGAAATTTACATTTCCGGCCATGCTTGTTACTTTATATTTACACTAGTGTAGTATGTATTGTCAGGAATAGAATTCCGTTGCTTTTTAAGTAGATCTCTGGGAACTTTTTTTTCTTAAAGGAACTCCACTGAGGTCCATTGGCCTTAAATAATAAATTTTGAAATTCTTTCTTTAATCAACTGATACTAAACTTAAATGTACATATTTTATTGTAAGTTTTCTTTTTGACAAGTGGGCAAAACAGTGCATTGATATGGTGTAGAGATTTATTAGTTTATACTTTTACACTGATTCCAGTTTGTTTTTTTTACCTTTTTTCCTGCTGAATTTATGTATTTTGTAATTGACTTAATTTAGAACTACCCTTTGCTTATGTGAGGAATTTTTTGTATAAGCAGGTACCTAATGTGAAGCAGGTACATGTAACTGGTCATATTTTAGGCAAGGGTGGGGGTGGTTGTAGTACCCACCGGAGCACGGCATTGAGCCACATTAAATTTACCAGAGCACAGTTCAACCACTACACTGTTCCTGAGTAAAATATCAAGCAGTGTAGCAGTACAAGATGTCTTTACTTTCACGAGGAACTGTTGACTGGTTACATTACATAGTCAGCCTGGTTATATACTGGAGGCATAGACATGTTCATATATCACATATAACATTAAAATTAAAGGTGTAGAATCAGAATTCTTCTTATGACACCAAATATTCAGTAACATAACAAAAACATTAAATATATGATATTTAATAAACAGGTTTTCATTTTATGATTGTTATTGTTTGAGAATATATATGATTCAATATAACTTTTGTTTTTGTTACATGATTATTTTATGATGTTATAATTTGATGTGTTATAGATCTACTGGTTGCTCAATTAGTCACACTTACTGTAGTTAGACATCCTGATACATTAATTAAAGGCCCATTATGCCCCAGAAATACATTTATGTTTTGTTACTCAGAATCTTCTCTTTTTTTGGTTTCTTGTTATAGATTAAAAAAAAAAAACAACAAAAAAAACCTCATTGACCATATTTTGCATGTGTCACTCTTTGGGAATAAGTACAGTTTTAGTGATTTGTGAAACATCTATTTGTTTCTGAGGCATGATGCACCTTTAAATATATGTAATTGTTGTAGATAAATCAAAATATATGGTATTGTTATACAAATTAAGGCAATTTGTCTCAAGTTCATAAATTTTTCATGTAATACACAAATCGAGTAAGAATGTAAATGACTAAGAGCTATTAATATCTTGTCAATTTTCAAGTATATATAACAAATCACAAATGCATGTTTATAAGTTAAATGCAGGAAATGTTGAAATTTGGTGAAATTTTTCCTGTTAAAATATGATGAAATAACCTAATATACCGTGACTTAGATATATGTTGCCTGTATATGATATCTTTGTATATATAGAGTTGAAATCAAAAGTTTTATGTCCGCCATAAACACACCGCAAATCAAACAAATATTATATTATTATTAAGAGGATATTTTTTCGTTTGAGTGAAATATGGAATATATTTTCACGAAACACGATAAAATGCCACATATTTTCACGAGCCGGGACAGCGAGTGAAAATATGTGGCATTTTATCATGTTGAGTGAAAATATATACCATATTTCACGAAAAACGAAAAAATAACCTTTTTATTTAATTTCATTATCAAAGAAAAATGGTTACGAACCCCCTTGCTTGCTACGCAACTGCAATTGTACAGCGCGCAGTAATATAATTATTGTCTTGTTTTGCACGCGATATTTAGCGCTACATTGTGACGTCACGTAAACAACTCTTTAAACGTCTGTACAGCGTTAATGACTGAATTAAAGATATTGGTGTTCGGATTTATTTTCTTAGTTAGACCATTTTCTATCATTCTAGATAGTTTTCAAATCAAAATTCAACAAAAAGTTGTTATTTATTTATCAGATTTTGTAAACAAAATGGCGAAAGAAGTCCCCTAAAATAAATATGAGTTTTGACTCCGCCCACTTTCATATTTATATTTCATATTTATTTTTTACAAATATGAAATATATTTGACTGATATAGCACCATATTTCATGGGTAAAATTAAATAAAATATTATATTTTCAACCAAATATTGAGATATGTGTGTCAATTAAAGCCAAAAAAAAGAATGATTGGTTATTTTTATCATTGTTGTAGCAAATTATTATCTTCAGTGGCACATAGATGTTGTGCTGAAAGTAGCACACTTATTTTTGCATTTGATGTTCACATCTCAAGATTTCCTTATGAAGTCATTACCATTGGATCATTCAAACTTACTGAAATTCTTGAGTCTATATTGTGCCATCAGTGCTTTGATATAGTATAGGTAGACAGTAAGTAATCATCATTGTTTTGTTAATTGTCTGTATCTCTTCATTTTTAGCTTTTATCAGTACATCAATAATTATGTATTGTTACCAAGTCATGGACCCATTGTATATTTATTTTATAACAAGTACCTTAGGGTTACATGTAGGCTTTAAAGATAGGAATAATTTCCAAAATTTTGTAGCAAATATAGTTATAGAATTTGCAATAATTATGTTTTATTTTTTTGCATTCCAAAGCTTGTTTCTAGATGTCATTATAGATATACATGTATATATAGTTTAAATAAAATATTTTGTTGTAAGAATTATGTTTTTTTTTCTTCATTGCATTTTGGTATACTGGTATGTTCCTTTTTACTTAGAAAAAGTCCTGAGGTTTACATTTTTTTTGAATATCTTCTACAAATCAGTGGTGCATTATGTGAAAATCATGTTAAAATGAATATTTACAGGTGGATGTCCCATTACATAGAGAAAACATTCTGATTTGGGAATGGAGAAGATTTATCCTGTGAGCAAGAAAGTTTATCTTGGCAAACTTTAGCGAGCCAAGATTAACTTTCGCAGCAAACTGGATAAACCTCCATCCCAACAACAACCATGTATTTGATTTATCCTGTTTTTGTCTACTTTAACCATGTTTTTAGATTATGTAAATGGTTTCATTTCAAAGAGGTGTTGTGTTTAAACAATAATAGATAGCTAACCATAAACTGTAGATTTCTTTTATTTACATCTATGATAGCAAGCTGTCAATTATTTTTTAGTCACTAACTTTTTTAAAACTTAAATCAGTAAAATTCAGGCATTTCTCTTGTATCAATTGACATTTCTCAAACATAGTAATTTCAAAAAAATAAAAAAAACAGGCTGAATTTCACAATTTTTTTCATTTTAATTTAACATCACAATTTTATTTTGTATTTTAAAAATGAACCCCATGCATGTCACCAGTGATTCATTGGAAGGCAAAGCATATTGTTAAATGTAACGCTGCTATTAGCTCAACAATAAGTCTTGTGATGTCACTGGCAAACGTGTCCGCTCGATGTTAGCTTTCAGTGCAAGTGTGATTGTACGAATGAACTTTCATGCAAACTGCATGACACTTGCCTGACTTTACAGCATTTTGACGCCAATCTAATCAAGCATTCCTAATTACCTTTCTAAGATCTAAAAGAGACAATGGTAATAATACAAGCTGCACAAAAAGTTAAGTAGCTGTGGCAAATTACAGGATATTTAGTTACTTCTTGGTATAGCTTGGTATTGTTTTTTATTTGGCAAATATCCCGCATGTATACATGCAATAAGTGATAAAATCTTAATTAGTGCATAGACTGCAGTACGTGTAAGGTTATATTATATTGAAGAGAGTTAAAATATGAAAGACAACACTATGTGTTTTATCAAGGGGTTGGGGGAAGAGAGAGAAGATATTTTAACGATTGTATTTCTGAAAGTATCTCTTTTCTTTTTCAGATCCTACTGACACAGTCAAATTACATTTACTGGTGAAAAAAACAACACTAGAGGTGCCTGCTTTAGCATTATTTCATTTACTGGTAGATAGACAGTTCCCTCTGTAAATCAATGCAATAGCTTTAATACAATATATCTGAGTTTTTGTTATCAATTTTCTTAAAATATATAGTCTAGGTTATTAATAAAAGTACTGAAATAAGTAATGAAATTGTTTAACAATCAATTGCTTTTGTTCTTTAAAATGCAGTACCAGACTGATATCTATTTCAGGTGAGAGTAAATGATTTTTATTATGTCATTTTTTAACTGCACAGAGAACAAAGAAAACCATAGAAAGAGATTAACACTTGTTTGAAAGCTACTATGACATACAAAACCTGTCCCCCTGGTTTAGAGTGACATTATCAGCCAAATTATATCTCTCTTAAAGATAACCTCAATTGTTCAAATTTTACACGCTTCTTTGACTTTGAATTTTACCATTATTACAAATTTAAAAAGAAAAAAAAAGTTTTAAGAGAAGTATCGGAGGTTTGTTTTACGTCATGGAGTGTATTACTAGTTTACAGTTAATAAGAGTTAGGGTTCACATTACAAAAAAAGGTCAGTAGAACATGTTATATCCAGGATTTAGCACACTCCTGTGGAATCTTATTAAAGAATTACTAGTTTTCTATGTCTTGAAATTTTTCATTGTTATAAAATTGACAGGCTAAGCTTAACTTTAAAATGTCCTTAAAATTTTTAAGACAGATTCCTTTTGTGTGCAACCTTGAAGGGAATTAACTTATGGTTTTAAAATTAAAAAATGCCAAATCGTATTTGAGAATTTTAAATTCAAAGTCAATGGTTTTGAATGATACAACAAAAGCATGTTAATATTACACTTAGGAACAAGGGCAGTAACTCAAACCTCTTATTTATATCAATAGTATTGCAGAGTAAATGATTAAAGCAGTCATTGCATTTTCTAGTTATAAGGGTTGTAACTAATGTATTTTCAATGATCATGTAGTATGAAGATTGACTTGAACCCTGTCCCCTCAGAATACCATACTGAGACTCTACAACTGAGCTATCCAGTCTCTTACACATGAATGTGAATTAAACTCTTAAGCTATATGCAGTCACAATCCCCTGTTGGGTGCCAAATGTCATAGGGTGAGAAAGATGTGCCATCCGACAGGGACTCAAACTTCAGGACCCTCGGAATACTGTACCATGGCTCTACTAACTAAGCTATCAGACAGCTTAAATATTGAACAGTTCTGAACTGTGACATTGATAATATCAACAGTTTTAACATGTATTTTGCTTTCTCTAGGACATAATCGCTTTAACCATAAACGATGCCCCCAAAATATCATGTACATCAGTTACTGCAAGCAATATTTTTAAAAATATGTGGACAAAACAACACTTGTGATTATATACAGACATGTGGAATAAGTTAGATATGACCTTAACAGTTAATTGTCCTTGACCATCAAATGATTAAATTTTAGTTAGATTTTCTTAACTTTGTCATTTAATTTATTTATGGAAAGGATTCATATTTGGACAAAACAACAAGTGTGACTAGACAGACCTATTAAAAAAATTTAAAAAAAAAGGAAAAACCGTTTTTTTTCAGCTCACCAGAACCAAAGGTTCAGGGTGAGCTATTGGTATCAAAGGGGGGATGCTCCGGCGTCTGTCATCCGTCGTCATGCATCAACAATTGTCTTCTTCTTCTGAAACTGCGGGACAGGATTGACTACAAATTTGGTCTGTAGCATCCTTGTGACAGTCACACTTGAATTTGCTGCATGTCATTCAAAAGGCCCCTTTAAGGGGTCAACAGAGCTAAAAAAAAGAAAAAAAACCTTTAAACATCTTCTACTACAGATCTAATTAAAGGATGACCACCAAACTTTGCCTGTAACATTCTTGGGTAGTCTTTTATCAAATTTGCTCATATTAATTTGATTGACCCCTTTTAGGGGCCGCTAGAGCTAAAAATGAAAATAACTTTAAATGTCTATTTCTAGAGAACTAATTGATGGATGATCACCAAACTTTGTCTGTAGCATTCTTGGGTAGTCTTTTATCAAGTTTGCTCATATTAATTTGATTAGCCCCTTTTAGGGGCCGCTAAAGCTAAAAATAGAAATACCTTTAAACGTCTATTTCTACAGAACTATTTGATGGATGATCACCAAACTTTGTCTGTAGTATTCGTAGATAGTCTTTTTATCAAGTTTGCTCATATTAATTTGATTGGCCACTTTAGGGGTCCCTAGAGCTAAAAGTAGAAAAACCTTTAGACATCTACTACAGAACTAATTGATGGATGATCACCAAGGTTGCATTTAATAATTTGATTAGCCCCTTTTAGGGGCCGCTAAAGTTAAAAATAGAAATGCCTTTAAACGTCTATTTCTAGAGAATTATTTTCTCCCTCGCTACGCTCGTCCGAAAATAAAGCATTTCTTAATTAAGTAGTTGGTAAAAGAACAACAAGACGTTTGACGTTTACAGAATGCGGTGCGTTACTGATCGAGCGCAAAGAAGTATTAAAAGTGTTACAATCCTAACTTTTTTGAAACTTCAAGTCGTTTTTCTAAATTGTAATGAACATAACCGTCAGATGCGGAATCAGATTTCCATCTACCATGTTTTTTGAACATTCTCGATTCTACCGGGGATGAACTGTTAGCCAAAGCGGAAGCGCCTCCACTTCGTAGACTATGTAACCCAAACTTAGACTTGTCTTCCCCTATATTATCTAAAGCATCTCTGAAAATTTCTCTAGCTCTAGTGTACGAAAGTGGAGTGCTAGAATCTGCTATGACGTAACTATTGGTTTTCCTCAAAAATCTAACCTTAGTAAATAAAAATTCTTCGGAATGAAAATTGAGCCCGGCAGCAGCAATATACTTTAAAAGCCAAGATACCGGACAGAGCTTTGTTTGTAATTTTGCGATAATAACTTCAGAACCTAGTTTTTTCTGATCTGTTTTGCTATTTGTAACTTTAACACTGACATGGGTATTATGAAAAGATAAATGATTCATTTGAAGATGACTCAATTCGTCATATTTAAAAAATCCTGAAAATCCAAGAATGCACATAGTACAAAGCCTAAGATTTTTCAAGTTATTACTATCTCCGCCATATTTCTTCACGATTTTTCTAAGAATTTCAACCGTCACTGGTGACTTTTTAACAACAGGTTGACAAGACAAACTTCTGGAACCTGCATAAATTAATTTCACAATTTTGCTGTCACACGGATTGTTTGAAACTAACATTAAATCATGATTCCATTTAATACTGTAGAAATAACTGTCAATAACGGAATGACTTACTCCTTTACCTAAGATGTCACTAAGAAATAAGCTGACTGTGGTGTCCTTGGCGGGTAGATATTCAAACTTGTGTAGCTTACACCATAAAATAAACTTTTCGAAATAACAATCATATTTGGTACGTGTATTCTTGGACTTTGAAGCTCTTGTAATTTCCGGTATCCTTTTTGCTGCTGTTCCTAAGATAGGATGAGTTTCAAAACCATGTATGTCCTTCCACAATGATGAAGAGTAAATATTCTGAAAAATAGCAAATAATTAAAATCTTGTTTGTATCAAACTATAAAACAAAAACAAAAAATCACTTATTTAAAGCAGACTTGTCTACAGCTAATACCAGACAGGCAAAAAACTTTGTTCTGTTTAATTGATATGTGCTAATATCAAAATAATTCCAATTTAACAACATCGAATAATGTATGCGAATTATCAAACACTTTGCTATATACATGTAACTAGTATAAACATAT